ATCTGACCTGCCCTCCTTCTTGGGAGTCCCAGCCTGCAACGATGATTCCTGCCATCAGGTCTTCGCGGTATCGGTAACACATCTCCTTGAAGAGGCTGGCTGCAGTGTGGACCAGAGGCGGCTCGTTCAGCTCAATGCTAGAAGACGAGGGGAGTCACAGGGAAGGCATCATCAGCACCTAGAAGTCAGACCATCCCAGCTCCCTTCACATACTTGTTTCTTCCCAGCCCACAAGCACCTGTGGAAACCAAGCTGATAGGTAACAGCATCAGCTACAGCCTGGGTATCAGCTGCAGAGCCTGAGCGGCAGCAGAAGATACGATCGTGAATAGGGGTTAGCTTGTCAGTCACCCGGTTGGCGATGTAGGACCTGCAGAATGACAGGATAGTGAGGGAAAGGACCCCACTTGTCTCCCACCTCCATCCCATTATTATCTACTCCCTCTGGCCTCGGGAATAGGGCGTCCTCTATTTCCTGTTCTCATCCAAACTGAAGCAGTCTGGAGGACAGACTTCTGCAAGCAATGCACCTACGGGCGAGTTGCAGAAGCTGGAACAAATCCTTATCTCCAGGGAGGGGAGAAACCTCCCTCCCGCAGCTGAGTGCGGAGGGTAAGGATGGGCTGGCAGGCATGGAAGGAAAAGAAAGATAGGAAGACCTTTCCCACGTCGTGAGCTCACCCAGTGGTTGTTCGGGAATCGGCCCCCAGAACCACGCCCCCGTCAAACTGAACAGCCATGATAGTGGTCTGGGAAAGAAGAGAAAGCGGTGAGTCTGGGCCTGTTCGCATTCTCCAGCACAAGCAAACAATGATCCCCCTATCCGGCCCCTAGAATACTAGGGACCCACTGTCAAGTGTCAGAGGGGCCTCAACGACCCGCAAAATACCAGAATTCCAACTCTCAAATCCCCACAGGCTCATCCCAGCCTTAAGCCTGTGTCGCGCAAGTTTCTAGAACTCCACACTTCCGCCTGCCTTCCACGTCCTACCACCACGCATCCTCGGGACCCCTCTCCCTCGGCCTCCAGCACATCCCAGACCACCTCCCGCCCCCGCCCCCCAGGCCTCCCAACGCTCCCAGGCCTGTCCTCCCATCGCATTCAGACGTGCGCACATCTCCTGAACCCCGAGTCCTTCCTCACCCCTGTGGAGACTTCCCGGTTTTCCCAGTCGGGGGTAATGGCCTCCGGCCCCCAGGCTGGTGCCGGACCCGCTCCTCTAGCTACTAAGGTGGCCGCCATCTTTCTCCTCTGGTGCTGCCACAAAGCAACTGTCGTAAAGCGCTCTGTCACTCCCTTTAGTCGTGCCCCGAGGCCTTCTGGGAGCGAAACTGGGCCACGGTTGACGGCAGAAGGGAAAAGAAATGTGGAAGGACGTTCTTTTGCGACAGTGAATGCTTGACGGCAGCGTGGCAGGCAAGTAAGCAAACAAAAATACCCCCCCCCCCCCCCCAAA